GGAAAGCAGCTAAAAGTATCTTTTATTAATGTGATTTTAGTTTTAAAGGGGGTAAAGCAATGTAACATCGTATTCCATGTCACCATTCAAACATTTTCTAGATTTGTATCTATTCTCGTAACATTTTTTTTTCTCTTTCAAAAAAAAAACTTGGGATCCCCATTAAATCAGTTTCAATAGTTGAGAGACATTCTAATACAAAATACATTCAAATTGAGAAAGAATGGACATTATAATAAATGAAAACTTGATCCTTGATTGGTAAACTTTAGCTTAAAAAAAAAACCTGTTTATTCTCTAACATATCCCTTGTATCCTTTTTGTATCCCATATGAAATCGTCATTTGATGATCTTTTTTTCCCTGTCACAACATAACTGGTCGGGGGAAGAGGTATAGATCCATGTTGATAATAAAAAGCGAACCTTAATTTGGTTATTTTCGCTAAATAAAGAAATTCTTAATTTAATGTTGTTTGTGTGGTGGTAAAGTAGGACATGAAAATTCATTAGTGAAATATAGTTACGATGGTTCTTGTGTAAGTTTTGACGTTATAAAAGAGCTTTACATGCATTCATGACAGTATAAAAAAATACAAGAATTATCTTTATGGAACAGTTTTTCTCAAACTGGGATTAAATTTTTATAATCGTATACGGGAGTGATTATTAAATAGCCATAAGTAGTAATTCTAACCAGCCACAGTGACTCTGGTCTCTTTTGTGAGGAAGGCATCATTTCTCCGCTATAACAACAAAAAGAAGTCCTTATATAACGTTTATTTTGACGCGATATTTTCATTATTGCATGGTTTCATAAATGTTATTTATAGAATCTACTTTTTGTAGTTCTTGAATTCTTCATAAGGAATTAAATAGAACGAGCACGTGATCTAATGAACCGAACGATCAGCTCACAATATGATTGAACGCGGTTTCCTATTGTTAAACGGTTATTTATGGAAACATAATCAAAGGAGTATGGATCCTTATAGTAGTTAACTAGAGAAAGCGAACAATAAGTTTATCTAATTTTCATTATTCAAGGAAATAACTTTCGTTTGAAGACGTTTGAAAAAGGTAGTAAACATATGCTGCGGAATTCCAAAAATCATTGACCGGTGGTTTAGAAAATTGACTCGGGGACGACTCGGAAATCTTTCGGAGGTTCTTCTCGTTTAAATACAGCAATCGATACTACAATGTGACCCAGGAGGCGTTAAATAAATAAATAAATAAATATATATATATTGGGATCCCAATAATTTATCACGGTTGGTGACATATTATTTTTACCATCAAAGGTTGATGGTTTGTTTGATGATGTAAGTTTATGTAATGCATAACATACAATAAAGTGAACCTGTTTTGAGACATCTTACATTTTTGTTTTTAAACATTTCGCAGCGAATTACAGTCTTTCTTATTGTTTTGTTCTTTCTGAGAAAATAAAAATAAAAAATAAGTGCGATATTTGGTATAGTATATTTTCTTTCGTTTCAGATCCATTTGAAAGTTGAAATTATCTCGGAATCACAAAATATGCGTTCTTAAGCCTCAAACATTTTTAAAATGTCAAAAATCAACAACTTGTCAATAAACTTGACTTTAACAATCAATTCAAAAGGGATGGTTTTTTTTTCTAATTTTTTTTTTTTGATTAAAATGTGCTTGGGCGAAAAATTAACGCCAACCAAGAGATAAACAAATAATCCATTTTTGGTGAGAATGACCAGTTTTCACCTCCCCAACAATCTTTTTCATCGAAGAGATACCTTTCGGTATATTTTTTTTCTTTTTTTTTTTTTTTTGGTAATATGAAAAAATAAAAAAAACCGACGCTATGCATTATTACCAGTGTCGTTTTGAAAATAGAATCTTAATTGGTCAACAACCTTTGATTTCAGAATATCAACTGGCTTAGGTCATCAGTTATGTAAAAACATTTATAACAAAGGTTACACGAACAATGGTTCTTTAATGCACAGAAATATTCGAAAACCAATCCTAAAATTGCTCTTTTTATTTTGAACTGGTTTAAAAAGTTATACACAAATATATCCAATTTTGATGGGAAATGTAATAAATTGGTTGATTTTGTAAATAATTAGTCAATTTTTGGGATCTGATTACGGAGAAAAAATAAAATAACTTACATGTTTACTTGTTTACTTGACACATCAATTATTAATTAAGATTAATTTTTTTGTTTTAATACTGCCACACTAGCCATAATTAAATCCAAAAATAGATGCGTCAAAACAAATGATTTTTTTTAGGTTAAAAATAACCCTTATATATAAATGAAAGAATCGCATGATAAAAAATGTGAGAAAAAACTATCATTAGATAAATAGGTTTGATATTTTGTGATACCACTTGGGATTATCCATCAGCGTTCGAATTTAGACCGATCTTTAGACCGATCTTAGGATCGATTTTGATAATATTTTGATAATTTAGTAGTAACATTACTAAAAAATCATTTCAAATACCGGAAAGATTAAAGGAGCGTCAAAACATGAAATTAACAGAAATCTAATAGATTTTATTGTGGATGAAGAAATTCTGGCTGGCTAACATTGGAAAACTTTTGTTGAAAAGCTAATAAATGCTTCATTTGTTTTCCAATTTACAACATAACAATAAAGAATTTAACAAAAATCAAAAAAAAGCATGTTATTAAACGAATTACAGTATATTACAAATTTGTTGAAAATGCTGCAGAAAAAAAAACCCTTTTCTCTTCCAAGTTAGGTTTAGACCTTAATAAAATATAACATAAAGTAATTTGCATAAATTACGTGTCTTTGTATAATTTTGTAAGATGCATATGTGATTTAGCTGATATAAGACAAAGTTCGGTTTAACAGTACCTCAATTTTTGAGCTGAGCGGTCTCTCATAAACGAAGCGCATGAATTTCTATGACTAAACAAACTAAACAAAAGCGCAGCAATTTCACGTTTTATTAATTTGTTTTTAATATTTCTATAATTAAATATGGCTAACAATTTATACTAATAAGGTATCTCGTCATTTGGTTCTCCGAGTTTTAATTAGGTAAGAATTTTGACAATCCGTTCCAACCTCATAGCCATCCAAATCAGTCTGAATAAATCAATTTTTTAATTTTTTTTTAAACCGCTGTTAAAAGATGTTCGATGAAGTGCCGGTTGGACCACAGATAGGGGCTGGTGCTGATAGTTTTTTTCAGTCTGATAGTGACCTGGCAACTCAAGTACGTCGAGCTGCAAAAAGAGAAAATAAAGCTGGTGATCCAATTGAGTGCACTTCTAAAGTCTTATGCTTGCTTTTACCCGAAAAAGCAGATTCTGAATATGCCTATATTGGAGAATCGGGGTTTATCGCGAAAAAGATAAACTTATCGGTATGATCAAGTTTTTAAACTATCGAGTTGAATTATTCAAACTAGGCATGTCTTTAAAATGTTCCTTTCTTTAGACTGGTAAAACTTCAAAAATTTATAAAGGACATACTGGACCAGTTACTTGCATTAGCTTATGGTATAAAGATGGAGAGGAGTATCTTATAACTGGATCGTGGGATAAAACTATCATCAAATGGGATACAAAGGTAAATTAAGGATAAATATTTTTCGTGATTTGCCTTTCCTATTCGACTAATTTATCTTCCATGATCAAATTGTATATAATATATATCCGATTTAGACTAAAGAACCCATTCATACTTTCACTTCACATACTGATTTTGTGAAATCATTAGTTATCTCTCATACTTTTTCGATTCTTTGTTCAGGATCTTCAGACAAATGCATTAGTTCATGGAATCTCGTAACTGGTGAACAATTACAAATATTTAAAGGACATTCTCGTGGTATTGAAGACCTTGCCTTCGATGAAACCGAAACCTTTTTGTTTTCTGCATCATCGGATCGGCATATCAGAAAATGGAATGTAAATACAGGAGAATGTTTGCAAGTGTTTGAAGGACATTTGACGAGTGTTTACTCTTTGAAAATCTTTGATGACGAAATGTGGACGGGTAAATGTTGTTGACTTTTGTTGTGATAAATATTATTTACTTTGATACTAACGTGATGTTGTATCATAGCATCTGCTGATAAAACAGTGAAAAGATGGGACTTGGAAGTAATTATATTTGATTCACTATCATAGACAAGGGTCTGATTTGTTTAAAACGTTACGTCATATCTAATAGTCGTTGGGAATACGCAATTTGATTAGACCGGTAAACCAGATACGACCTTTACACATCCAGATTTTGTTAAATGTCTTGTGGTGGTTGGGCCATATTTGATCACCGGATCACGTGATGAGATGATTAGAATTTTTGAGATTGGGGTTTGTATAAAAAATTCCATTATTTTGAAAAAAAAAAGTTCTTATAGTATCGAACTCATGCGATCCTTTATTTTAATTAGAGTGGGGAAATGATCAATGAGTTCGAAGGTCATTTTGATGAAGTGTCTTGTATGGCCGTTAGAGGAACTACATTATATACAGGTTCTTTGGATTGTACTCTAAGAAAATGGTCTATTGCGGGTATGTGTATATGAAAAGACCTATTTCGCTCTCAAATATTTATACATACATTCATATTTTAACTTTTACATTAAAATTTAAAGCAAAAGATTTGAAAAAATCCATTGCTAAAACCGAAGCTAAAAAATCTGTCCCATCTAAAAAAGAAGCCAAATCTTCAATATTAACCGAAGAGGAGGAACGTGAATTAGCCGAATTAATGGGAAGCGATGAGGAATGACTTAAGTTATAATCAATGATGGAAACATAGAAAAGATGGTAAGTATTTAATAGAAAGAAAGTATTACCCTTATAAATTATTTTTTAATTAGATTTATAACTTTATTTAAAATAATTTCTTGTTGGTTCACACTTCATGTGGAAATAACATTACATAATCTTTTTTTTTATTATAACTCTTTATAGAAAACTGGTTACTTATATTTACTTAACACTTATTAATAAAATCGTTTTTATCTATTTATCCAACGTCTATGTCCGAGAAAGTTTCTAATATTAATTGGTGCATTAAAATTCAAATTAAACACAATATATACGATAATATAATCTCATACCTGCATAGATACAGCTGTATATCTAGTACCGATAATTTCAACAGAACTAATAATTTTTCTAATTTCAGATAATTCTTCAGAAGTAAGTTGAATTTTTGCTGCTTCAAGATTTTCTTCTAAATATTTAACTTTCTTTGTACCAGGGATAACAACAATACCATCTCCCTATGGAAAATAATATCAATTGATCATCACGTCTTTCAAAAAACTATATGTTAGAATGTTAAAAATATTTACCTGTGCTAGAACCCAAGAAAGACAAAGTTGACTTGGAGTAATACCTTTCTTATTAGCACATTCATTAATTTTATGTACGAGTTCTAGGTTTTTAGCAAAATTTTCTGGTTGAAATCGAGGATGAGTTCTTCTTATGTCACCCGGTTCTAAATCATCAAAAGATTTATATCTTCCCTAAAAATTTGAGATTAATTTACTAATAGGTTTTTTTTTTTAAAAAAAAAACCAAGGTATTTCAAGACGATAAATACTGTTAGAAACCCGCGTCCAAGTGGACTATATGCTACTATAGTGATACCTAATTCACGACAAGCTTCCATAATCCCATTTGTTTCAATATCGAGAGTCCAAGGGCTATATTCAAACTTCAAACAGTTGATGTTAAAACAAAGATTGTTATCATTCATTATTATTAATTACCTGAACCGCGGCAATAGGATGAACTTTATGGGCACGTCGAAGAGTTTCGACAGAACATTCGGAAAGACCAATATACTTAATTTTTCCTTTTTTAACAAGTTCTGCTAAAGCACCGACAGTATCTTCGATAGGGCTATAATCAAAATATAATCGTAACCTTTAAATGATAATAATAAAAAGAACCGAATTTTTACCCTTACGTGTTAGGATCCACACGATGTTGATAATAAAGGTCGATGCAATCTATTCCCAATCTTTTTAAGGAATTTTCGCAAGCTTGGTGAACATACTCAGGTGTACCTATTATACTAAACGTTGTTGGATCTTGAATAAAACCAAATTTCGTACATAGAAAAACTTCATTACGACGTTCTTTAAGAAATTTTGAAAGGATAATTTCATTATCTCCATAAACATCCTTTTAAAATATGTATATAAAAAAATTAATTTATGAACATTTTATTTTTCCTCCTCAAAGAATTAAGAAGTAATTTGGTATGCATACAGCAGTATCCAAGAAATTGCATCCTAATTCAATTGCTCGGTTCAAAACATTAATATTTTCTTGTTCATCACTTGCGCCATAAAATTTACTCATGACCTTATTTTCAATGAAATTATTACAATTATTACTACCATTGATTAAAAATTAACATTAGTATAATTTATTATGATCATACCATACATCCCAAACCAATCATGGGTATTTTGACATCAGTTTTGCCAAGTTCACGAAGAGGAATAGACATTTTTAATTATGTCGATTTTTAAAAAAAAATCAGATTCTAAGGAATTTAAAAAAGTGTCCTATCACATAAAAATTGAATAATTTGATTTGTTTGGCAATTTAGTCTGACTATAACCGATTTAAAAAGCAGAAGACATGTCTATGAAAAGTATGCTAATACAGAATAATTGGATCGGTCTTTTATGATTTGCTTTTATTATACAAAAAAAGTGAAAGTATCCAGCCAAAAATGGTCGTAACAATTAATGCACGTGATATCATCTTGTGTTTCAACAATATACCTATTGAAAAATCAACTTGTAAATTCTTCTTCTCTGCTCATTAAATAGAAATCGATCTCTTAGACTTTTGATATGTAATTATTCAATTGATTGGTCTGCCATTTGGTCCTTACTATCTTTAAACTCTTCTTTTCTCAAAACATTATTTGTATCTATTAATGCTCAAATTATTCATTGTAAAAAATTTTGTTAATGAATTTTCTACTCTATCAAGGCTTGAACTACTCTGATCCAATCTCTACAGAAATGCATACCATTATCATTCTTATCAAAGCCTATTTGTTTAAACAACTTATAATTTCAGATTATTAATCTATCTTTCTAATTTTAAATTTGTGAGATGATAAATTGCAATTAAGAATATATTTGTTGAAACCTTAGATCAATGCTTGACTGTCTATATAAATGTTAATGTTAGATGTTTTAGATGAAACCAAAAGAGCAGTGAGTAGTACATAAATTTCAGCTCTTGTAAAAAAAGACCAATTTAGTAAAAAGACACTAAAATTTATGATAAGCATTTTGTAACATATCCAACTAAGACCCATTTTATATTTGTTATTTCATAAAATAATAAGTAAACTATCTATATAGAAATTAAATATAGTATATTAGTCAAAGTTGTTTATATTATTTGAGAGTATTGGAGTAAAATAAACAAGATAGAATTAAATCAATAATATTGAAAGATTTTTGTAATACAATAAATACAATAATAGGTTTAAATAATTATATTTAATATAAGCAGTTCTGGTAATTTCTAATAATAAAATTTTATCTTAACTAGAAACTTAATAGAGTTATTTTAAATTGCTATTTTTTGTAAATTCTTTAGCGTAAATAATTGGGTTTTATAATTATTTCTTTAAAAAATATGTATTATTAGTTAAAGTTTCTTTTTTGTCAATTTGGAAATTTACTTTAGAAAAAAAATAACAAAGTTATATTAATTTACTTTATTTTTATCCTTTGATGATATTAGTAATCATTTTATATGCATAAAGTAAGTCTAGTAGCAGAAATAATAACTCAAATAAACTTTAAAAATAATTATAAAGTAATTAATATTTTTGAATTAGTTATTTGTTTTTATTTTATTATATTTCTTTAAATAAAGTTGCTAATAGTATCACATTATTAAACTTAAAAAAGTAAAAAATAGACAAATTCTTATTATCTAACTTTTTATTTGTCAACATATCATTTGTTTTTACTAATACAAATAATATCTGTCAATTATTCAAATATGTTGATTGCAGTTTATTCTTACCTATTTTATTAATTAGCTTTTGTATATTTAATATTTCTAAAAATTGTGTATTTTAAGTTATTATAATGGTAAAAAAATCTTATATATTTTAAGAACTAACTTTCTAATCAATTCAAATTATACTGACAACTTGGCAAAATAAATATACTGAAGTCATTAAGTTCTAAAAAAGACTCTTTTAAGATGTCTGTTAATTCATATTATAACTGATTTCTGATATATGATGAGACCCAAATCATATAATCAGTTAAGTCTAAAAATACTGTAATAAAAAAAGAGTATTATTATTTAGAAAAGGATAAAACATATTATCACATAAATTTATGTATCTAAAATATATTGATCCTGATTATACATAAAGTTGAAATAGATTATTTCAGATATCTAAAATGATCGAAATAGTTAAAATAGTCAAAATCATTTTTTTTGACACTTTATAAGACATACGCTAGTGGTAAAGTTGGTAAAAGTCCTAATTAGTCCTAATTGGTTCTGATTAATTTTAAAAAAAATTATTAGTTTTAAAGATTAAATATTATTATTATATTTAATTTTTAATTAAAATTACTTATTAAAAGAAGTTTAAATGTTCTTTTTAATATTTAAAATATCTTTAAAATTTTAAACCTAGGACCTAGGTCCTAAATTAAGTATATTTATTATTTTTAAAGAATTTTTTATTTTAAATTAATAAAATAATTGATATATACAGTCAAATCTTAATATAACAAACCTTTGATATAGTGAATTTTTATATTAAATATATCTTATTATAGTGAACTAACCAATCATTATAAGCTTATAATAAAGTTGAAATTCAGACCCTAGAGTTTATTATATCAAGAGTTCACTGTAATAATTATTAAAAAGATTAATTTATATAAATTAAAATTATCTTTAAATTGTTTAAGATCAATTAGAACTTATTAGGATTTTTATCAATCCTAGTTGGTAGTAAAGTTTGACTGCATACCCTTCAATAAAATGATACAACTTACGATATATAATTGCTACTATAACTCCTCTTTAGTATATTTCAACCAGTGTAAATTTGTGTTAAATCTAGAATAGGTATCATTACCAAGTAAACTGCCAAATCACTAAACCTCATAGTAGAATACTTTGGTACTTGTTATTATTTACATTCATCATAATTACTAGAAAGAGAATCAAAAACAACCTAAAATAATAGCCTACACTATAGTTGCTTTATCATATGGGAGGTTTGCTAGGAAAATGGGGCTTTGAGACTAAAAAATTTTTTTGAATAAATTAAAAAATCAAAATAAACAAAAAACTAGCTTTAAATTTGAGGCGATCTA